CATAAGACCAGGTGACACGGCTGGGTGGGCAGAATAGCCGTTGAGCAAATGAGAGGTGCAATAGGTATATTGAGAGACATCTCGACATCAAAAGACGTTTCAACACTCCAGCCACACTTAAGGGGCATAACTGACCAGCGTCTCACGATGTTCGGAAGAGTACTCGATTAACGCCAACAAAGGAATACCTGATCAACCAGGCTTCGAACAGCCTGGTTGATCAGACGACCAACCAGGAGACCTGGCCGCGGTCAGTGTTCTCTTTACCCCTGGCCAGTGTGCTGCTCCCCCCCCCCCAGTGTTTTTCGATTCCCCCCATGTTCTTCCCACCCCTCGTGATCTCCCCTTTCCCCGTATTCCCCCTCCCCCGTATTCCCCCTCCCCCGTATTCCCCCTCCCCCGTATTCCCCCTCCCCCGTATTCCCCCTCCCCCGTATTCCCCCTCCCCCGTATTCCCCTTCCCCGTATTCCCCTTCCCCCGGTGTTCTCCCCTCTCCCCCACTACTGTCACCCCCGTGTCTGACGTAGAGAGTTATGGTGTGTGGTCGTTCAAGGAACCATTACAAGGTAGGCAAGATGCTTCTCCCATTAGAGGTGATATGCAGGTTGTGGCGTGGCTCCCTCGCTGCGGGCACCCCACATCGTGACGGGGCTGGCCACATGGGGGAGGTGGCCACCGTGGTCGTCTTGGGCCACATGGCCACGTCTCCTTCAGTTTGACTTCCTCCTTGGCAACTGTGTTGTTGGAATCGTGAGCGCCTCACTCGACGGGTAGATGACTTTTGTCTTCATCCCGTACCGATCATCTCGTTGGTATGGCGCCAGAGGTATTGTCGATGAGTTCATCCTTTAATGAATTAGTGTCAATTTGGAAGCATATGTCTTCCAAATCCTTGTATGTCTTTAAGACATGTATTTTTCTTAGCTCTAAGAGAGGGGAAGCAATTTTTTTCTTAATTCTTCCAGCGGTGGGGATCGCGTTATGGATTTGACACTGTTGTCAAAGCGGAAATAAATCGGCGTGACATTTCATGAGAGGCGGCCAGTGGGGCGTGTGCAATACTTTAACACTGACGGCGAGTGAGTTGAGAGGTGGTGGTGGATGGTAGGGCTGGCGGCGAGTGAGTTGAGAGGTGGTGGTGGATGGTAGGGCTGGCGGCGAGTGAGTTGAGTGTGGTGGTGGATGGTAGGGCTGGCGGCGAGTGAGTTGAGAGTGGTGGTGGATGGTAGGGCTGGCGGCGAGTGAGTTGAGTGTGGTGGTGGATGGTAGGGCTGGCGGCGAGTGAGTTGAGAGTGGTGGTGGATGGTAGGGCTGGCGGCGAGTGAGTTGAGAGTGGTGGTGGATGGTAGGGCTGGCGGCGAGTGAGTTGAGTGTGGTGGTGGATGGTAGGGCTGGCGGCGAGTGAGTTGAGTGTGGTGGTGGATGGTAGGGCTGGCGGCGAGTGAGTTGAGTGTGGTGGTGGATGGTAGGGCTGGCGGCGAGTGAGTTGAGTGTGGTGGTGGATGGTAGGGCTGGCGGCGAGTGAGTTGAGTGTGGTGGTGGATGGTAGGGCTGGCGGCGAGTGAGTTGAGAGTGGTGGTGGATGGTAGGGCTGGCGGCGAGTGAGTTGAGTGTGGTGGTGGATGGTAGGGCTGGCGGCGAGTGAGTTGAGTGTGGTGGTGGATGGTAGGGCTGGCGGCGAGTGAGTTGAGAGGTGGTGGTGGATGGTAGGGCTGGCGGCGAGTGAGTTATTATTATTATTAACATCTTTATTGACAAAATTGATTACAATTTTGCCTAGTCTGAGGATTTCAATTAAGTCTTATTAAAGTGAGGTTAATGCTGGTATTCACTGTCACGCAGGACAGAGGATCACACACAAGACAATAGGTCTAACAATAGGCCATCAATAGGACCAGCCGGGCTGTGGTGGGTACGTGGCCCTGCGGGCCGCTCCAAGCAACAGCCTGGTGGACCAGACTCTCACAAGTCGAGCCTGGCCTCGGGCCGGGCTTGGGGAGTAGAAGAACTCCCAGAACCCCATCAACCAGGTATCTAAACTGTAGGCTAAAGCACATATATATCATGGTTACAATCAATGTTTTAATGTATGAATATGTGAAAACAACTTTCTATTGTGCACTGCCACACAAGGGCAGGGATGGGTTCATAAGTGATGCTGCTTAGAAGTAATATAAATAAAATTGTTCTTCATTCTTTAAAATAGACAAGCAAAATTTTGATCAATTGTTAGGATGTCGTCCAGAACACCTGAGTCAATGAAATAGTTACACAGTTGTGTGAGTGAGTTGAGAGAGGTGGTGGATGTAGGACAGGCGAGCACCAGGGTGGAAGAAGCACGCCAAACAATACAATGTTCACCAAACAATAACGTCAGGCTCCACCCAACACTGCCTGTGACGGGAAAATTATAGGGTGGATTATAAGAGCTGGTGTCTGGACGACTAGGGCAGGTTTCCAGTTCTTTTTCACGCTCTTGTAGTAACAGTGCGTCTATAATCACAGGTGCCAAACCTGCCCACCAAAATGACCACATACCGGAGTGAAAGGTAGGGTAGGAAGTGCAAAGTATAAATCTCTGGGTGCCATAAGCACAGGCAACAGTTTAAACGTCAGAGGTCCACGACTTCAATCCCCTCTCAACAAATTTACGAAATGTAGTGGAACAAGAGCGGAAGTTTTCAAGAGAAAAGTGGACAAGTTTCTGCTAGTTACCTGCGCGGCCTGGCTGTGCAACCTGTCCCGGCTGTGCAACCTGTCCCGGCTGTGCAACCTGTCCCGGCTGTGCAACCTGTCCCGGCTGTGCAACCTGTCCTGGATGCGACAAAGAACGTCGCATTTCGATCGTATGCGTTACACAAGGGCCAAAATGGTCGTACTTGAAACTGGAAGCGGCTGGCGAAAGTGACGTACTGTCCCGTTTTCAGTTTTTGGGACTGATAGGTTAGGAGAGGACGGTTATAATTTGACAGTTTTCTTGAGGTTGGGAAACCTTTGGAGGGGACGGGCTGGCCTGGCCTGTGATGGCTATATGGAGAGCTATGGAGCTCTCTTGGGCTATGGAGAGCTATGGAGCTCTCTTGGGCTATGGAGAGCTATGGAGCTCTCTTGGGCTATGGAGAGCTATGGAGCTCTCTTGGGCTATGGAGAGCTATGGAGCTCTCTTGGGCTATGGAGAGCTATGGAGCTCTCTTGGGCTATGGAGAGCTATGGAGCTCTCTTGGGCTATGGAGAGCTATGGAGCTCTCTTGGGCTATGGAGAGCTATGGAGCTCTCTTGGGCTATGGAGAGCTATGGAGCTCTCTTGGGCTATGGAGAGCTATGGAGCTCTCTTGGGCTATGGAGAGAGAGCTTAACAGACCACACAGTAGCCAGGGAAGGCTGGCCAGACTCCGGCAGTAGAACAACACGCAAAATCACCACCAGGTAATCAGCCATGTTATTAAATGGTGAAAACACACGATTGTCATATTAAATCAAGGGAGGCAACGATGTTGATACTCCACGAGGCCACTGTACTACACTCTGGCGTACTAACACACTTCTCAATGTCTTGACGTCATTCATGCCATTAACATTGAGGCTCGGTAACACCACCACGAGGCCCATTTTATTATTAATAACATCTTTATTGACAAAATTAATTACAATTTTGCCTAATCTGAGGATTTTGATAGTCTTATTAAAGTGAGGATAATGCTGGTATTCACTGTCACGCAGGACAGAGGGTCATACATAAGACAATAGGTCTAAACTGTAGGCTGAAGCACATATATATCATGGTTACAATTTACCACGAGGCCCACACTCCACGCCAGACCAACGCCAACATTTTACTCTCTCCCGCTCCGTCAACGCCTGTTGGATTTCTACAGGTCGTCGAAGTGGCGTCAAAGTAACTCTCTAATTACATGTCTGAGGGACACACAAGCTGAAATACTTGTATACCTGCTTGATGGGGGTTCTGGGAGTTCTTCTGCTCCCCCGAGCCCGGCCCGAGGCCAGGCTTGACTTGGCCTCGGGCCGGGCTTGGGCCTTATCTTGGCTGTTGTTGCATGTGATGTTATCCTGGCTGTTGTTGTACGTGTTGTTATCCTGGCTGTTGTTGTACGTGTTGTTATCCTGGCTGTTGTGGCACGTGTTGTTATCCTGGCTGTTGTTGTACGTGTTGTTATCCTGGCTGTTGTTACGCGTGTTGTTATCCTGGCTGTTGTTACTGTGTTGACTCGTTATCGTTATGGGATAGATCAACTTCAAATGATCATTCTAGTTGAGGTGTGGCGTGTTCCGGGGGGGGGGGGGGTCCTTCAGGTGTGGGGTCAGTAAGAGAGAGGGGGTGTTCAGGTGTGGGGTCAGTAAGAGAGAGGGGGTGTTCAGGTGTGGGGTCAGTAAGAGAGAGGGGGTGTTCAGGTGTGGGGTCAGTAAGAGAGAGGGGGTGTTCAGGTGTGGGGTCAGTAAGAGAGAGGGGGTGTTCAGGTGTGGGGTCAGTAAGAGAGAGGGAGGTGGTGTTCAGGTGTGGGGGTCAGTAAGAGAGAGGGAGAGAGAGAGAGGTGATGTTCAGGTGTGGGGGTCAGTGAAAGAGAGAGAGAGTGGTGATGTTCAGGTGTGGGGGTCAGTAAGAGAGAGAGGTGGTGTTCAGGTGTGGGGTCAAACTACACACACTTGCTCAAGCTGCGTTGTGAATGTTTATTTGACTTTGAGTGAGGGAGAAGGTGGAGGGGAGGAGGTAGGTGTTGTTGGAGCTGGGGAAAGGGGGGGAAAAAGGGGTGGGTGTTTGGGGGGAGGGAAGGGGAAGTAGATATTGTTGGGGAGGAAGAAGAAGGGGGGGGGGTGTTGGGGGTCGACATTCTACTCAGTACTTTTACCAGACATTGCATCATAACATTTGTACGAGGCCGTGTGTGTATATATAAAGGTCATGTTTGATTTAGATGGGGCTGAGGTTCACATTAGCGTGGGCCGCTGCCCTATTTAGGTGGTGCGGGTGGCGGCGGGGTTTGGGAGAGAGAGAAATTCCGCGTTGGCACCCGGCTGGGGGTTATAGTGCCGGTTACCGCCTCTCTTTCTTTCCCCCCGTCAGTCTTGTGTTGGACCTCTTGGAGGTGAAGTGTCCCGTGTTCGCTCCCGCACCCAACTTGTCCGGTATTGAAACGTGTTTGGAGACTAGGCGAACGCACATGCTGGAGGAGGAGTTGTAGTGCAGTAATTTTATCTGTGTGACTCCCATGTTAATTACGGGGCCCTAGCGTGCGTGTCTGGTGGAAATTAGTGGTGGATGTTGGGTTTGCGAGGTGAAACTGTGAGGCTGACTGTCACTGACTGGGGGTCCTCTGTCATCAGTTGGCCGCCGGCGCTCGTACTGAGAGGACGTGCGAGTAATGCTGCCCCTCCCTCCCTCCCTCCCTCCCTCGCTTGCCAGCCATAGTCGACCAGCTATACTAAATAACGTTTTCGTACCCAGTGTTTGGAAATGGGTTGTGTTGTAGACTGGAGGTGACCCGCGACTCTTATGACCGCTGCCCTAACACTGTGAGAGTTACAGGTGTTAGGGAGGCAAACCTTGTGAGAGTTACAGGTGTTAGGGAGGCAAACCTTGTGAGAGTTACAGGTGTTAGGGAAGCAAACCTTGTGAGAGTTACAGGTGTTAGGGAGGCAAACCTTGTGAGAGTTACAGGTTTAGGGAGGCAAACCTTGTGAGAGTTACAGGTGTTAGGGAGGCAAACCTTGTGAGAGTTACAGGTGTTAGGGAGGCAAACCTTGTGAGAGTTACAGGTGTTAGGGAGGCAAACCTTGTGAGAGTTACAGGTGTTAGGGAGGCAAACCTCGCTTCTGTTGTGCAGACAAGATCAAGAATTATTGTTGTCGAGAAGGTTATGGGGCGTGTCATTCACTGGCGAGTGAGCGTGTCCCCATCACACCCGCGTCTCTCTCCTGCCACACCTGCATGCGTTGCGTCCTGCCACACCTGCGTGTGTCCTGCCACACCTGCGTGTGTCCTGCCACACCTGCGTGCGTCCTGCCACACCTGCGTGCGTCCTACCACACCCGACCTAACAAGAAACGTACAAACCCAAGCAACACACCTGATCTGCCGAGTCCGATGCATAGAAAATGTAGATAGTTGAGTCTTGACTTTGTATAGCAGGTTGCATTTGTAACGTTGGATACCACAACGTAACAAACCGCGACCTATTAGTTGAGAGGATGAGTTGACGAACCCTCCGGTACATCGGAGAGCCGGTCGGCCGAGCGGACAGCACACTGGACTTGTGATCCTGTAGTCTTGGGTTCGATCCCAGGCGCAGGCGAGAAACATTGGGCAGAGTTTCTTTCACCCTATGCCCCTGTTAACTAGCAGTAAAATAGGTACCTGGGTGTTAGTCAGCTGTCACGGGCTACTTCTTGGGGGTGGAGGCCTGGTCGAGGACCGGGCTGCGGGGACACTAAAAAGCCCCGAAATCATGTCAAGATAACCTCAAGAAGATACCCAGAAAATCTGGGCTGATGCTGCCCGAATCTTTTTAGTTGTGACTTTCGGGAGTGTTGACCCTGATGGGCGCGTCTCCTTGATACGGCTTCAAACCCGAGTAGTTTTGAATCCGTCATAATCCATTATGTTCCCCCCAAGCATGTTATTTTGAGTGTGGCGAGGGAATGGATACCTGGTTGATGGGGTTCTGGGAGTTGTTCTACTCCCCAAGCCCGGCCCAAGGCCAGGGCTTGACTTGTAAAGAGTTTGGTCCACCAGGCTGTTGCTTGGAGAGGTGACGCACGGCAGCACGTAATTAAAGTTGGTGCAGGATGCTGCAGGAAGTATATGTGGGATGCATATGTGGGAATGCATGTGTTGGGGCCCCTCACACAGGGATAGCGGTGTGCCGGGACTGTCAGCGGGGAGGCGAGGCCGACGGGCAGCCAGATAGGGCCTTGTGTCGGTGTTCAAGTGCGGGGAGTTGAGTGGAGGTGGAGTAGGGGGGGGGCCTTCCCAGTTCTCCCCCCCCCCACTTCTGCCACGGATATTTTGCTTCTTTTCATCATTTCCTCTGATGCTTTGAAGCTCATCGTGGTCTAGTGGGTAATGCGTGTCTCTCGGGTGACCAGAGACTGAGTTTACTTCCACCGCGTTACTCTAATATGTTCTCGTGTGTGTGTGTGTGTGTGTGTGTGTGTGTGTGTGTGTGTGTGTGTGTGTGTGTATGTGTAATTGCCTAAGTGTAGTTACAGGATGAGAGCTACGCTCGTGGTGTCCCGTCTTCCCAGCACTCTGTCATATAACGCTTTGAAACTACTGACGGTCTTGGCCTCCACCACCACCTCACCTAACTTGTTCCAACCGTCTACCACTGTTTGCGAAAGTGAATTTTCGTATATTTCTTCGGCATCTGTGCTTAGCTAATTTAAATCTATGACCTCTTGTTCATGGATTTTTTTTTACAGTTTTCAAGGTTTACAAGGTGGTGGTTGTTTTAGATTTAGTTACTCAGAACGAATTGTCCATGTAGCACGGGCTATGGTGAGCCCGTAATTGAGTTTGGTTATTCCCGATAACCTTGTTACTTTGATATTTGGGTCAAAGTATTAAATGGAGGTGGGGTTTCCTCCTTTTTCCCTGTTTCTTTTTTGCTTCTGTTTTTGTCTTGTTTTAATAACATTATCTTGGTGGCTGTTATGGGTGCAGAATGTTCACTAGTGATTCCCATTCTTTAACGGGTTTTCTAATCATTGTAGTCGCGGTGGAATGTGCATCTAATGCAGTTGCTGTCGTTGGATTAATGTTGAGTTTTATGCGCAGGGTTTCAGTAGCTTCACATTCCAGTAAGTAGTGCAATAGTGGCGCCTCTGCTTCTGTTTCACAGATATGAAACTCTTTAACTATTGGGTTCATTACCTCCCAGCAGCATTTGTAACCAACTCTGAGTCTGTGTATGACTACTGCAATGTCTCTAGATATCTTTTTGTCAGGCTTGAAAGAGTAGTACCCAGTGGCTTGTTCGTACCATATCGCAGTGGATCTTCCTTCCGCTACTTTGACTGTGACGACTTTTGATAGTTGGGAGTATTTTCTTCTTGGTTTGCTCCTTAATCTGGGAAAAACTTGGAGGTATTTGAACCTGAACAGCTTTTAGAGCAGTGGCAGTTTTTGCTAGTGAGTCTGCCTTTTCATTGTCATCTATGCCAATGTGACTTGGAATCCAATTTAGGGTGATTGACTAGCCCTAGATTATGGGCTTCTTTTCCTATACCTGGTTGATGGGGTTCTGAGAGTTCTTTTACTCTCCAAGCCCGGCCCGAGGCCAGGCTTGACTTGTGAGAGTTTGGTCCACCAGGCTGTTGCTTGGAGCGGCCCGCAGGCCCACATATCCACCACAGCCCGGTTGGTCCGGCACTCCTTGGAGGAATAAATCCAGTTTCCTCTTGAAGATGTCCACGGTTGTTCCGGCAATATTTCTTATGCTTGCTGGGAGGACGTTGAACAACTGCGGACCTCTGATGTTTATACAGTGTTCTCTGATTGTGCCTATGGCACCTCTGCTCTTCTATATGATCCTCTATATGTTGGATTTCTGTGAGGAGTTGTATATTATCTCTGTGCTGACTAGATAATAATGAATGGAGCGAAGATTTCGAGTCGGTGTTTACAAATAGATATCCAAACATGTATAAGTGTAGAGACACTTCACTCCACGATTCACCTAACCTCATTAATCGTAGGGAGCGGCGATGGGTGAGGTGATTGTTGCCTGACTCTGGCCTCTTGTTGTCCGCCAGGTTTTACATCTTCCCTCTGGGTCAAGGACCATCTAACACCTGTATACTCGATGCCGTATTCATGAGGATGTTGATTACTGGTGTCAGTGTCAGAAAAATAAATAATAGTCACAATGCTGTTGTGTTTAATGACCGGTGTTTTTTATTTTTTTATTTATATAACTAAATCATGTTGCGATATTGTGATTTTTTTTTTAAGAAAGTGTTATGTAAGACGGTCTTACGTAAGTCCCCCGTGAACATAATGGCACTAGACTCAAGGGAGCCGGTCGGCCGAGCGGACAGCACGCTGGACTTGCGATCCTGTGGTCCCGGGTTCGATCCCGGGCGCCGGCGAGAAACAATGGGCAAAATTTCTTTCACCTTATGCCCCTGTTACCTAGCAGTAAATAGGTACCTGGGTGTTAGTCAGCTGTCACGGGCTGCTTCCTGGGGGGTGGAGGCCTGGTTGAGGACCGGGCCGCGGGGACACTAAAGCCCCGAAATCATCTCAGGATAACCTCAAGACTGAGTACGTCTCCCAGTAATGCTGGACAGATGTAAGCAAAAGTTGGTGGTAATAAAAGTATATTTTCCCTCCACCGCCCACCAAAAATAATAGTATTTGTGTGTGACCTTGGCGCTGGCGCCCAGCTGGAAGTCCCGCGCAGGAATATCACGGGGGTGAAAAACCACGTGGCGTCACGCCTGGGATCATTTGGTAATCACCTAATGTAGAGAAGCCGAGCTGGGACCCGCCCATCCCTCGTCACACACCACCTCCCCACGACACACACCACCTCCCCACGACACACACCACCTCCCCCACGACACACACCACCTCCCCACGACACACACCACCTCCCCACGACACACAGTCTTAATTTTAATTGTGGGGGGTGTAGGTCCCCGGGGGCAACGGTGACTATTACTGGCGGTCTGAGGTGGTGCTCAGCGTTGGAACCCGTCTTGTGCTTAAATCAGAGGTCCACGTATACAAATTATGCTCCGGGAACTCTTGAGGGCGGTGTAAGCTGTGCGAGGCTGCTGCTGCTACTGCTGCTGCTGCTGCTGCTACTGCTGCTGCTGCTGCTGCTGCTGCTGCTGCTGCTGCAGCTGCAGCTGCTACTGCTGCTGCTACTGCTGCTGCTGCTGCTGCTGCTGCTGCTGCTGGTCGCTGGTGTTAGCTCAGAGCCACCACATCCCTTCCCTTGTGAACACTTCGCACAAGTCAGCGTCTTTGCTTCTTAAAACACTGCAGGAACTGGTGTCAGTGGTGAGCGGGGACCTCTTGCTGACACCTTAGTCTCTTCTTATGGGACACATCCTGGGCATGACTCTCGCTGGTGCAGGTCCTCCCTTCCCCCCCCCTGCTTACACCCTCACCCTCCACA